CAGGTGGTGCTAGTGGTAAAGAACTGTCTGCCAATGCAGGAGATGTAAAAGATCCAGGTTCAATCCCTGGGTTGGGAAGATCCTCTGGAGAAGGGCATGGCAACCCACTCCAGTGTTCTTGTCCAGAGAATCCCATGCACAGAGAAGCCTGGTGGGCTACAGTCCATAGGATCACACAAAGTCAGACACCGCTGAAGCGACTCAGCACACAGACTGGACTGAAATCCTCTTCCCAGGATTGCTCAGTGCCCCGCACTTTCCCATCACCACCAGGTACCCCTGTGACTTTCTGGCGCGCCTGTCATTCCAGTTAGACCCCAGCAGCCGGACGGTGGCCTCACAGCTACTGGGGGCTAATGGCACAGGAGCTGCCCTGCCTTGTTCTCTGAGCTCAGGGTCTTGCTCGGTGCCTGGAACATCTTACAGGCAGGGGCTCGAGAGAGAGAAGGAAACGGCAGGAAAGAATGGATGTTCACAAAGCAGAAGGGAAACACAGAGGGAGCAGCAGACTCGGGAGGTGGGGGAAAGCGTCACGCGGGGAGCTGATGTCAGTTCCATGCTGAAGGGTGAGTAGGTGTCTTCCAGGTGGAGCGCGAGGGTGGGCGTGTCAGGGAGACAGGAGAGCAGGTGTAAATGCATGGAGGTGCAGAGCTGCATGATTTGCTCGCAGAGTCATTTGTGTACCAAGTCTGGGGAAGGATGTCAGGAGGTGGGGCAGGGAGCAGGTCAGTAACTCCGAGGCGGCCGGCAGAGGTCACGGTATGAAGAGCCTCGTGAGCTGTGTTTGACTGTGGCTTAACCCGAGGCTCAGTGGAAGCTACTGCTTGCTTGTGAGTGGATGGCATGGCGACGTTTGTGTTGTAGAAAGATGACGGGGGGTTGTGGAGTCGGGGAGGCGGGGCTGGGAAGGTATCGATGCTCATTGTGATACATCCAGAAGCTAATTCCTGTCCTTTGTCCCAGCTTCTGGGACAGGAAGCTGGACAGTGGCCCCCACCGCTACACCAGCCCTCTCTCCATCACGAGGGCAGGGTGAGAAAGCGCAGCCAGGGTCCGTATGGACCAATGAAATGAGAGGGGTTCTCCATGCCCCTGGCTGCCATCCAGGTGGTTGGAAGGGGGCGCATTTGGGGAAATCTCCCCTACTCCTGGGCTTCCCTGGTGGATCAGATGGTAAAGAACCTGCCCAGAATGCAGGAGACCCGGGTTCGATCCCTGGATTGGGAAGATCCCCTGGAGGAGGGCATGGCAGCCCACTCCAATATTCTTGCCTGGAGAATCCCATGGATGGAGGAGTCTGGCGGGCTACAGTCCATGGGGATGCAAAGAGTCGGACAGACTAACACATAAACCCCTGCTCCCAGCGGCTCGGGGGCGGCTCCTGACTGAGGCTCTGCTCCTTGTCTGGCCTCCAAGATGGGCTGAGCCAGGACCGGAGATGTCTGGATGAACCCAGGAAGGGCAGTCACTGGAGTTGATTTAGACTTCAGAGTAGGTTGGGGCTCCTCCAGGAATCAATGCTCGTTTCACTCCCTGTGAAATCCATAGGAAACTGCTGCCTGGCCACTTGTGCCTGGAGATCAGGCTATCAAGGAGAGCCCGTCTTGAAGGTGGACAAGGTCCTGGACCCACCATTTCTTGAGGATCAATTACGTGCCAGGTGTTGTTCCACGTCATCCTCGGGCAACCCTCCCAGGGAAGTGCAACTCCAACTTTCCAAAGAAGAACCGAGGTCCGGAGAGGTCAACGACCTTGCCTGAGGTCACAGAGCAGGCTCCTGCTTCCCCTGGACCAGCCACCGGCTTGTCTGATTCTGTCTCAGATGCGGTGTCACTGCTCAGCCCAGTCCCTCCGCAAGTGAAAGAGCCAGTGCGTATTAAACAGCCTCACAGCGCCAGGCACTGTCCATTATGTTACTTCAAATTCTTGCGACAGTTCATTCAAGATGAAGGTTTTTATCCCCATTCACAAAGAGCTGAGGCTCCAAGAGCTTGGTCAAGGTCACACAACTGGGAAGCGATGAGAGCAAGTTTGAATTTAGGTGGTCTGAGTGGTATGGGGGCGGGGGCAAGGGGTATGCCAGCTTGCAGCAGGATCTCAGTCCCTGTCTTCTTTGAAGAAAAAATTCGGCAAAGAGATGAAGATTGTGAAGCAGACGAAGTGTTTATTAGAAGCAAAGTACATGTGAAACACCACGCCGGTGAACTTGGGCAGTGAGCTGCACCCAGTGGGTGTGGCTTACATCCCGCACCTGGGGGCGGACTTCCGGGTTGTCTCTGGCCGCTCACCTCACATCACGCGCATGGGGGCGGACTTCCGGGTTGTCTCTGGCCGCTCACCTCACATCACGCGCATGGGGGCGGACTTCCGGGTTGTCTCTGGCCGCTCACCTCACATCACGTGTATGGGGGCGGACTTCCGGGTTGTCTCTGGCCGCTCACCTCACATCACGTGTATGGGGGCGGACTTCCGGGTTGTCTCTGGCCGCTCACCTCACATCACGTGTATGGGGGCGGACTTCCGGGTTGTCTCTGGCCGCTCACCTCACATCACGCGCATGGGGGCGGACTTCCGGGTTGTCTCTGGCCGCTCACCTCACATCACGGGCATGGGGGCGGCCTTCCGGGTTGTCTCTGGCCGCTCACCTCACACACGTGCATGGGGGCGGACTTCCGGGTTGTCTCTGGCCGCTCACCTCACATCACGTGTATGGGGGCGGACTTCCGGGTTGTCTCTGGCCGCTCACCTCACATCACGTGTATGGGGGCGGACTTCCGGGTTGTCTCTGGCCGCTCACCTCACATCACGCACATGGGGGCGGACTTCCGGGTTGTCTCTGGCCGCTCACCTCACATCACGGGCATGGGGGCGGACTTCCGGGTTGTCTCTGGCCGCTCACCTCACATCACGCGCATGGGCGCGGACTTCCGGGTTGTTTCTGGCTGCTCATCTTGCTTGTGCCGTATCTGGCCTGACTCAGGGCCCTTTCTGGTGGGTGCACGTGCATCCCTCAGTCAAGACGGACTCCAGCTGGAAGGTTTCTGGCAGGTTGACAGGACATATTATGGACTGGCAGCTCCTCCTTCCTTTGGCCACTCCCTAAACTGAGGATCTTCTCCATACAAGTGTCACTCTGGAAATTCCCCTTGACCACAAGAATGAGAAAAATGTGGTTGTTTTGTCTTCTGCCATGTCATCCAGTCCGGTCACTTCATGGCAAATAGATGGAGACACAGTGGAAACAGTGGCAGAGTTTATTTTTGGGGGCTCCAAAGTCATTGCAGATGGTGACTGCAGCCATGAAATTAAAAGACGCTTACTTCTTGAATGAAAAGTTATGACCAACTTAGACAGCATGTTAAAAAGCAGAGACATTTCTTTGCCAACAAAGGTCCGTCTCGTCAAGGCTATGGTTTTTCTAATAGTCATGTATGGATGTGAGAGTTGGACTATAAAGAAAGCTGAGGGCCGAAGAATTGATGCTTTTGAACTGTGGTGTTGAAGAAGACTCTTTTAGAGTCCCTTGGACTGCAAGGAGATCCAACCATTCCATTCTAAAGGAAATCAGTCCTGAATGTTCATTGGAAGGACTGATGCTGAAGCTGAAACTCCAGTACTTTGGCCACTTGATGCTGACTCATTTGAAAAGACCCTGATGCTGGGAAAAATTGAAGGCGAGGAGAGAAGGGGACGACAGAGGATGAGATGGTTGTATCACCGACTCAGTGAACATGAGTCTGAGTAAACTCCGGGAGCTGGTGATGGACAGGGAGGCCTGGCGTGCTGCGGTCCATGGGGTCGCGAACAGTCGGACACGGCTGAGCGACTGAACTGAACTGAACTGAACTGTCTTCTACCCAATCAGGGATCTACTTCTGGCCTTTTGTCAGCAGGATACCCAGGGCTTCCCGGGTGGTGCAATGATTAAGAATCCACCCATCAATGGCGGAGACGTGGGCTCCATCCCTGGGTTGGGAAGATCCCCTGGAGTAGGAAATGGCATGCCACTCCAGTATTCTTGATGGAAAATCCCTTGGATAGAGGAGCCTGGTGATGCATGGGGTCGAAAAGCGTCAGGCACATGCATACATCAGCAGGACGGGGCTTCCCTGGTGGCTCAGAGGTAAAGAATCCACCTGCCAATGCAGGAGATGAAGGTTCGATCCCTAGGTCGGGAAGATCCCCTGGAGAAGGCATTGGCAACCTACTCCAGTATTCTTGCCTGGAAAATCCCATGGATAGAGGAGCTGGTGGGCTACAGTCCCTGGGGTTGCAGAGAGTCAGATAGGACTGAGCGGCTAACCAGGAATAACACCAGCAGCAGAAGACTGCCTGCAGCTCCTTGGTTGGGGCCCGTCTGTCTCTCACTGTGACTTCACCACGGGTGCCCCTCTCACTTGCTCTTTTTCTTTCCATCCCTCTCCCTGCGGCCAGCACTTCTTCCCATCTAAGTCCTTCCCCAGCCCCCTCTCCTTCCCCTCTCCTCCCAAGCAGAGTCTCCACCCTGGCACTTCTGCTCAGACCTGTCTGTTAGGGAGCTTAGAAAGCAAGCATGAGTGTGTGTTAAAATGAGTCAGCAGGTTGTCCAAGCACAATTCTCTAGACAGCAGTGTGCGAGGCAGATGACAGAGTCAATTATCACAGTCCCAGGGAAGGGCTGTTTAGCATCTTGAAAGAATTAACCAACCAGTGCATAATTATTGCAAATGAACCACCTCTTAATTATATCCATGTTTCCATTACACACCCCGGTGTGCTCCAGCCCCAGGTATCCGTGGCCCCGGGTTTATTAAATCCCCTTGGCCAAAGCCAACTTTTCAGGGGTGTGTGGGAACAGCTCCTCTGCTCAAACTATCAACTTAAATGCCATGTCTTTGCTTGTGGACATGTCTGCAGAAATATAGGAAAAGAGCAAAGCTGTTTCAACAGGCTCCAGCCTTACACTGCTCCCGCAGAGCTGTCTTCTGCCAGATTCAATTCAATTCCATAGTAACAGCTACCTTGGCTGGCATATTTCCGGTGCGCCAGGCACTTGCTGTCATTCTCACCTGCCCGGAAGGTGTTGTTGTCTCCCATTTTACAGGCTGGGAAACTGAGCCTTGAAGGTCATGGGGACTTGCCCAAGGTCATCTGTTTGGTCAGTTGCAGCCAGATCTACCTGGAACCTGAGTCTGTGTCTTGTGTCTCCTCTCGAGTCAGCCCGACAACACGTGTTCCAAAGAGCTCAGCTCTGGTCTCTGGTGCCCCCTCCTCTTACCGTCTAGTTAGAGCTTGGCCCCAGGTTTCTGAGAAGTCTCTGGAGACCTTCTTGTCTGTTGTGTTGGGTTTGGTTCTGGCCTTTCCGACTAACTGTCTCCACTGCCCCTTGTTCCACGTGGTGCCAATTTGAGGTTGACTTAGAAGAAATAGTCAGTCTGTCCCCCCACTTCCCACAGAATAAGCCCACCCCCACGTGGCATTTTTGCATAAAGCAGGCTTTAGAAAAAATGGGGAAATAAAGAGGTGGTTTATGGGGCTGCAATTTCAACAGTTTTCAACTGAATGTTAGGTGTCCGGTTGTCGTATGTAAACTTTTTATTCCAGTACCCGTAGAAAGTGATTAAGTCACACGTGTACCATTTCGTGAATTTTCACAAAGTGAACTCGATCATGTAACCAGTGCTCAGAGCAAGAAGAAGCGCTGCCCTCCTAAAGTGTAGCTAGTATTGAGAGAACACTGACTCCTTCTCCAGCACTTCACACACATCACCTCGTTTAAATTCTCCCACTTACTCTAAGAGAAAGGTGCATTTGTTGTTTTGGCCCACAGTGCAGCAGGTGGGATCTTATTTCCGTGCCCAGAGATGGAAGCCGCGGAGTCTTAACCACTGGACCACCTGGGAATTTCCTAAGAGAAAGATGAGGGAATTGAGGCTTAGATTTTTTTTGCCTCAATTTTTTCTACAGGTAAGTGGTAGATGCAGGATTTGAACCTGGGGCTTCCTGGCTCCAGCATCCCGATTCTTTACCTCTGGTTTGGGAGGGTATCATCACGCGCTTGATTCTTCTGTGTATGTTCCAAGCCATGGTTGAATGCTGACTTCACTCTCCAAAGGTAGGGTCTTGGAGTGGTCTTTGGCGTCTGATATGGTGCGATGCATCCAGAAGGCATTTAATAAGTCCTGGATAAATGAATGTGGTTGTTTGAGGCATAAGTTGTCTACTCAGATCCTACCTAAAAGGCAGTAGCTTGTAGCTCTTTTCTAAAAACCAGCCCTTTGTACACCTCTCCCTAGGTAGCAGTGGATTGTAAGGCTGAGCAATCCTTTGGTCTGGTGTCATCAACATTTCCTTGTCTTTTGATTTGTGGTAACAAGGCATGAAAAGACATAAACAGAGTGATGATGGCGCGGTGGGTGAATGACTTCTTCCTGGCTCCTGTATAAGGGGAGGCATATAAGATGGATACAGCGCCCTGCCATCCTCTCAAAGTTCATGCTGTTTTTACTCCAAAGTTCTTGCCCTGTGTGATTTATCGTACTCTCTGAAAAATAATTTTTTTTCCTTCTCGAGACCACAGAAGAATCTCCGTGTTTCAAAACACATTTGTGCCTTTAAAACCAGCATATTCAGTCTTATTGCCTTTGGTATCTATAAGCAGACCCATTCCATGCTATTTTTAGGGTCATTTCCAGAAAAATAATTTACTTTTCATTGTGGAGTCTGTCAAGCTAAGTGAAGTTATTTTCTTTGTGATGTTGGATGAGTAAATTCAGTGCTAAAAGATGGGGTTTTAAAACATTTCCTGCAGAGATGGGCTCATTGCTGGGTTTATCTTGTGGATTCAAATAAAAAGAAGCTACCAGAAGGTCAGCATGTCCATTATACTTTGTTACCATCTATCAGGTCTGTTTTCTTAAGTAGTCGGAGCTGTTGGCTTGAATAATAATAATAGCTCTAGCAATAATTGGTTGCCTTTGGGTGCTAAAAATAGCTGCTTTCTTAGGGTTGGAGTTGGATGAACCTGGAGTCAAATCTGGGCAAGTTAAGTTTTCTGGCTTCAGTTTCCTGATCTAAAAAGCAGGAAGACTTACAGTACCTTCACCATCGGGTTCTACTGGGGTAAGGCATGATAAAGCACGAGTTTCAGGATGGATGGATGCCTCCATTAGGTGCAGAAGGTACAGGACCCGTGATCCTTGTAGGAACCACAAAACATTTCCAATTAAAAATTTTAAAATCATAAGGAAAACATGAATATAATGCTAATAATGAAATCATAATAATGAATCTTGACAAGATTATATCTTTGTACCTACATAGTCATACAATATAATTTTGAATTTTTTTTATGGAGGAAGGTGCTCATGAAGGTACAGGTACTGAAGATCCCTGAGTCATAATGCAGCCCTGATGTGTATCCACTGGAATTAGATTATGCAGTGAAAGTAGCTTCAAAAAGTGGAAGTGTATTTTTCTTTTGTGTAAAAGAAGCCCAGAAATCGGCAATCTGGATTGGCAATTCCTTGGTATTCAAGGCCTTGGACTTCTTGTGTTTTCCTGCAGCACTGCCTTCAAGTTTGCCTCATGGTGCAAAATGGCTGCTGGAGCTTCAGCCATCATATCTGCATCCCAAGGATCAGGTAAAAAGGGCAAAAGAACAGAGGGGGCCCACTTCTCACCTGGGGCAACTTCCTTTAAGAAACAGTCTAAGAATTTTTGCACAACACGCTGAAATGTGATCACAAGGCCATAGCTTAGCTACAGGGGGCAGGGAAGGAGGCTGGGAAATGTCATGTTTTGCTTGGATTCATTGCCTTTCCACTGATCAAACTGGTCAATCCTAAAGGAAATCAACCCTGAATATTCATTGGAAGGCCTGATGCTGAAGCTGAAGCTCCAATACTTTGGCCACCTGATGCAAAGAACTGACTCATTGGGAAAGACCCTGATGCTGGGAAAGATTGAAGGCAAAAGAAGAGGGCAGAAGAGGATGAGATGGTTAGACAGCATCACTGACTCAATGGACATGAATTTGAGCAAACTCCAGGAGATAATGGAGGACAGGGAAGCCGGGTGTGCTGTAGTCCATGGGATCACAAAGAGTTGGATGTGACTTAGTGACTGAACAACAACAATTGCTTTTGCAAACAATAAGTTTATACCAAAGAAGGGAAAAATAGGGCCAAGGGTGCATGCCTCAGAAGTGAGGGGGCAGTAGCTCTCTCTCATGGGGAACACCCCGAGGGACCAAGAGGGGGACCGCCGAGAGCTGGGCAGACAGACTCCTCCTGCCAGGTCCATCGTTAGCTCCATTTTACAGATGGGGGTAGATAAACTGATGCGGAGAAATTAAATAACTCACCCGAGGCCATGCGGTTCTTACTTGCTGACTGCAACTCTTGGCTTCAAATCTCTCCATTTCCATCTACTGAATGTTGGGAGAGAATTCTCTGTACGCTAGACAGATGTCACACCCTATCTATGAGTAGATGATTCCAGAAGCTGAGCAGTAGACAAGGCCAGCGTTTGTATTCTTTTCCTACTCTCCAGTAGAGAAAGGAAAGCATTCACCTCTGTGCTCGTCATTTGCACTGCAAGACCCACGCCGCGCGGTGGTCCTGCTGCTCACAACAAAGCATTTACAAAACATGTGCACAGAAACGTCTCCCCAAATGAGGGGTTTCTCTCTAAAATACAGGATCTGTAGTACGCGTGCGGCTTCCAGTCCTTATTGTTACATTTTCACACCCCTAGCCCTGTACCTTCTTAGTTCATGCTCCTGCCTACCCCTGGCCCTTGACAATAGTCTTCAGAAGGTGGTTCTTGTAAAACTTGTCCTATTCAGAATTAAATTTCAGTGACTTGATAAAACCCTCATCAGGGAACAGGAATGCCGCAGAGTTGGAATTATATTCTCAAGCGTTCCTGCGGCCTGCTCCAAGTACTAAGGCATTCAGAAATGAAAAGGCCTTTGCCCTCTGTGGGTTTCCAGGAAAAAAAGACACTGAGCAGTCATTTACCTTTTCCTACAGTTTCCTAATTTTCTCAATCTGTTCCTATAGCAACCCTAATAGGGATTGGGTTGCTAGAAAAGCATTCGTTTCTATAGAAACAATTTGTTCTATAAGAGAAAAAGTTTACTTGGTAGCACATGAAATCTAATATTAGGATTTTGATTTGGTTGGTGCATTTTTTTTGTCAGTCAGAAGAATATTTCCTGAGCCACCTACAGACGTATGTTGCATCTTTAAGCTCAAATCTTCATCTCATAGTGTGTTCTTATATAGATTTAGGATGGAGGTTACAGAGTCTTAGTCCCTGGGATTTTTAGTAAGAATATAAAATAAGATTTTAAAAAATTTAGAGCACTAGCAGGCTCATGTGCAAGGGAATATATTAAATATTTTCGTGAGACTTTTTCTTTTGGTATAGCACTTGGCTATTTCTCTCTACTTTCTTATGAAAACCCTAAGTTTTTTAAAAAATTATTCTAGAATCAGATAGATGGTTTTGGTTGCAAGTGACAGAAATCTAACTCAAAATTGGTTAAGCAAAAAGGGTGGTATCTATCAGCTCTCATATTTTAGAAGTCTGGAGGTTTCGGATATGGCTGGATCCAGGGCTCACCAAAGCCTGATTGCTTTCCCTCACTCAGCTCTACCTTCCACTGTGTTGCCTTTATTCCCAAGCCAGCTCTTCTCAGGAGGTTCCAGCAGCTCCAGCCATACCCTCGGCAGCTTCCAGCTAAGTGTCTCCAGTGGAAAGGGAGCACTGCTTTTCCAATAGTTCCTGGAAAAAGCTTGGGAAGGACTCCAACTGGACTCCAGCTGGACTGACTGAGGTCACATGCCCAACCCTGATCCCATCAGTGAGGACTTGGGGAAATGAAATGAGCTGATTGGCCAGACCTGGGTCTGGTGCTTTCCTGTGGAGTGAGAGGTGAGGTCAGTACCTCCCAGTCCCCACAGAGAGAGGGAAGAACTCTTCTACAGAGGAAAGTCAGGAGGTGGAGCTAGAAAAAAGAGGGCCCCAGTCAGACACTCCAGTGGGTGAGTGCAAATTGCTGGAGCAGACTCACTTCACCACATTCTGAA